TGTAACTAAAGTCTGGGTTGTTTATATTTCACATCATTAATCAGAATCTGCAAAGTAACTAAAATACATGTTGTGGAGTGGGCTAGACCCATTCGAGTCCAGTTTTGGATAATCTGCCGTGGATTAATTCCATTTCAAAGAGCTCGGCGTATCCTTGGTGCATCCAATCACAGAGCTTGAGGACTAATCACAGGGGTTTGTCAAGCAAAGCGGATGTTGTAGTCCCAAATGATAGCTGAGGATTATGGGTAGTGTAGTGTCTTCGGCCATGCTAAACTCTGAAAAAAACGATTTGTTTCTCCGAATCGAAGGTTAAAAACACAAAAGCATTGTACACCATTTAAACCAATCAATGTTGTGTAATTAACAAGGATAAACTGATGTTTTTTAGTGGATGAGTAATGCAGATATCACTGTGTAATCATTTGATAGTGAGGGGAATACTTCCGGTTTTATTATGAAAACTTAGAGACCGGAAAAATTGTTTTCACCCTGTGAGGGTTGACGCCAACTTTACATGGACGCCAAAGAAAGACATCAAACCTCAAATCCTCTTCGTAATATCCATCAAACTATAGATCCTATACATCTACTGGACGTGGATTCTAAAAGTACAATATACACTTCTCGCTAGAAATCAAATCAAAGAGCATTTTAATGGCCAAACTATCCTACAATTTGGGATTAGCCAGAGAGGGTTATTAGTGAATATACGACCCTCCGGAGCGTTTGCAATCAACGGGAGCATATGCCGCAAATTGTTGTTTCTTACACGACCACTAGAGGTGCTAAACTTTAAAACGTATAGGTCGTAATAAGCTGCTGAACAATCGACCTATTTGGTCGTTTTTCGGAGGAGGACAGGCTGGCGACCGCCTATGTCACCTATGCCACCTATGCCACCTATGCCACCTATGTCACCTATGCCACCTATGCCACCTATGCCAAAAACCGGCCCTGTCTGACTCCTCCCCCAACCACTAGCTAAAGCCTTATACCTGTGAGTAGTGGCACAACATTTAAATGAATCGTTTGTATGCAGTATGGTGAGCCATTTTTAACTTGTCATTTTACCTTTTTGGAGGTTCACTGTTAGCGTATAACTGTTTTGCTTGGAGTCATTTTGTTCAGCATTTCGCTTCTGTTTTGGATAGCATTTAGCTTTTGATTAGTTATTTAATTTAGCTTATTGATTTGCTTGATTCAGTCTTGCTTATACCTTTTGCTTTGCTTTGTTGACTACATCTGGTGAGTGTATACGGTAGCACCCTGGTTTCACTTACAGTAGCCTGCCACCCCATTTTATGGCCTCAGCCCACTTTAGTTTTGGTCTTCTTTTTAAAATTCATATCATTTGTAATATTAGATTTTAAATGTATATTTCAAACATATTTTGTCCGTTAATGATCTCAGCTTTGACCAGCAGCAGTTTATACAAACATGTATTGATACATTTGCTAAACACAAGTTATGTTTTTTGAAAGTTGTGTCGCTATCAACTTGGCAAGGTTTCTTATCAACGTAGCCCTCAGAAATGTGATGTACATTATTATACAATAATGTGTGTTCATTTACATAAGTTCCACCAAATACCTCGCCTCTGCTTACAGTTTTTAGCACTGACATAAAGCATGCTTTGTCGCTTTTCTAATGCTTTGACAAAAAATGTATTGTGGCATTGAATTAACTTATTGAAAGGTTCTGTAACAAATGCATACTGAGTTGCGTCCTGTGTACAATAGTTCAGACTCAGAAGAATGAATGGGTGATTGAGCAGATAAAGATCATTTAAAATACATTTTTATAAGCAACACTGTTCCACTGGGTTTACTCTCTGCTGCCTGTGAATGTCTCTTATCATCTGTAAACTGCAACATTCAGATAGCTGTCAATGATCATGTATTCAATTAGCATTATTTTGCAATTGCTTTAGACTCTTTAAAATGTTCTGCATGTAACCGTGTAAAGGTGTTTACAGTTAAACATGAGTTGTCCTTTAAGACAATGTGTTCATGGTCCTTTGTTTATGATTTGACAAGTGTAGTTAACTTAGGTACAGTAAATGACCAAACCCCTGGCAGTTGGTTATGTTGCATCATTATGACTTATTAAAACCTGCCAGACTCTAAAACTGCAAACCATAATGATAACTGTTGACTTGTTTTGCTTCTGACTACTAAATATGTAATATATTCAGCATCCACACTCAACACTTTTTTGCACACTTCATAAACTGTGTTTGAGAACTTTATTTAGTTTTTCACAAATAAAAAATAAACGCCATCCTGAACAATAACCCAGTCTGCCTAAAGAATTTAAATATATGCATGTTACTCCCCTGAGATTCATTTGCAAACCTGCAAACCTGCAGTAACATCCATTGGACTTCTCATAAATGCACATTAAACTGCATCCTGCTAACATTATGTCTACAATTCTATATTACAGGGGAGTGACGGCTGAATACGTTATGATATTATATCATTTAGTTATTTTGAACAAACACATGACAATTTATTCAGATTGCTGACATCTGTGTGAGACTCACCCATTAATGGACAGCACCACACTTTTACTCCCAACTACCACCTCTGTTTTAAAACTGTAAGGTCTGCATGCAATGTAACAGGGGAGGAACAATCCGCGGGTAAAGCAGTGTGATGAGCTTCAGTCCGACCTGACAACCAGTGTCCTCAGCCTGGCGAATCTGCAGCCTCCGTGCCGGTGAGTCCCCTGTCCGGTGTGCTTTAAGCAGTGCGTCCTGCCGTCCGACAGGAGGCGTGTCTCCCCTACGGCCGGAGCGCAGCAGCAGATGCAGAAGCGGGGGAAGCGGCGCGGCTCCTCCATAGAAACAAACCAACTTCTTGTGCTGCTCCGGTGACTCTCCGTGCTCCAGCTCTACCTCGGGTAAGTCCATTCCTTTCAAACTTCACATATCTTAACATACTGTTTCTGCCTTATGTGTGTGTTGTTTTCAGGAACTGTTATTTGGAAAAGCTGAGATTTGTACACTGCAGCGCGCAGAAAACACCGTTACGCACCTCACAGCCAGGTGTGAAGTTCATCCGCGAGTTCATAGAAGCAAATCCGACTTTAACCAGAGGACAATAACATAAACATGTGTGAGAAATAGCCTCCGACGAGTGGTTTAATATAGGCTTGGAGATGTGTGACCTCCCGCGTCTTTGGCCGCCCTCTATTTGGAGACGCTTGGCACCTTTTCGGGTTCCTCCTTCTGCATCCTCTCCTCCTCCCCGGGCTCAAGGCTTCGCTGCTAGGGGGTTATGAGGGTTGTTAAATGCCTTCAGTCAACCCCCCTTTATGAATGATCCGCAGATAACGGGGCTGGATGGGGAGCTCGCGGAGACGAGTCGCGCATTTAAATCCCACAGCTGATGAGCCCGCTTTAAATCAACTTTATAATCGCGCCGCGTTGCTGGGTGGAAGGACTCACCCCAGCCTGGTTTAAACCCCTTTCTTACATAGCTACTGAAGGGCATTTATTCTGCTGTTTTTCTATCTGTAGAAATAAATCAGACCGGCGCCTATATTGTTCTCACCTGCTCACCCCGCAGACCTGCGGCTTTGTCCTCTTATTTACCAGCTTCTCCCTCTTATAATGTGCGGATTTCGGCTACTCATTGCACGCGGGAAACAATCAAATCTCAGACACGTTTTTCTATTCTTCCATCAGTCACATATTGGCTCAGGCTCAGGAATCCAACTGACTACCTCCAAAATTAGCTGCTAAAAATATATTAACAGACGGAGAAATGAACTTCCACAAGTTCTTCTGCATGCTGTTCCAAGTGCAACTAATAATTATAATTATCATTCTTAAATTAACATAGGCCTATTTCCTTAAAATGTTAAGCAGTCAGCCTGGGTACTTATTTGGGTGTTGCCCATAAGACATGGTTAATGTGGAGGCTGGCGGAATAGTGATAATATTTAACCTTTAGGCATTAACTGTATCATCACATGGATTGGGTCCAAACACAATGCCCCGCTGCTAATTAATGAGGCAAACGAGCGGGGGGAGCTGACAGAAATGGGAACATAAGGGGCCGCGGAGCCGCTGTCTGTGCTGCTTGAACAGTAGAAGCACACACACACGCGCGCGCGTGCACACATGCGCACGCACACATACACACACTGATTTAAATAGAGTCTGTCCGTGGGGCTGAAAACCCCTCAAAGCTGAGACTGGTTTAAAGCAGATTCCATCAGCTGTGGCATAGCCGTTTATTTATTTAGAGACTCTCTTAAATATCAATAACAGAACTGACCATATTTCAGTCTCAATGTTTTCTAAAAACTCTGCTTATTTAATTTAGTGCAGCATGAGCTTGTCAATCTTTGAATTTGCTCCTTGTTTTAAATCAGCGTGACCTCTACAAACGCATACTCTCTATCCAGTCTAAATGTGGAAGTTTAATCAAGGAATATATAATATTTAGAAGTGATGCATCAGATTAAACAACCAGAATTTGACCAGAAACCCACGCATATATGTGCCGACCTTGAAAATAAAACGTGCTTCTGAATATAGGCCTCGCAAAACTAATGGTTATAAAATGGTTATGGAATTTAAAGATTTGTTTGAATAACAGCTCGGAGGCCACAGAATAATCTAGAGGAACAAGTTGACCATGACAGTAACATTTCTGCGCCTTTCAGTGCGTAATTCAACAGTCATAGAAAGGAGCGTATGCGATCACGATAAATTGAATTAAAATGTTCGGGGCTGTCTCTGATCTAACAGGCTGTACAGGGGGACTCGCAGGAAAAAGTATGAAATCAAAAAAAGTAATAATTGAGCAGACAGAACTGAAACAGTGCGGTCTGAGCGGCTATTCATCATGCTGAGTGTTCCCCGACAGCTCGGCTTCACATGAGTCCAAGCCTGAGTGACTCCGATCAAACGGGCGATGTTTTCACATTCATAGATCGGCTCGTACACGTCCGTGCACGGGCGGACAGTAACGGCCATTGGACCGGAACGAATGGGAAAATCAGTGCACGACATTGGGAAAAGAGGGGAAAGGGAGCGGGGATAGTGCATGAGCTGGTTTTCGGCTGGTGATATTGTGGTCAGCAGCAGGAACATGCCCGGTACCCCCTGTGCGCTCCCCCACCGGTGCGACGTCAGAGGAGTGTGTGCGGCAGTGCAGCAGGAGGAGCTCACACACACCGCCGCTCCGCTCTCACACACTCTCGCGCTGGATCTCACCCCCTCTCCAATCTCTGTCTTTCAGTAGATGGATTTCTTCAAGCTCTGCCCTGCCTAACATGGACGCCCAGCCACCTCCGCCGCCACCCCCTCCTCCATCCCCATCAGCTGAGTCGGAGGGCTGCTTCTCCTTGGCGCAGTGAGCTGGACACGCAGTGCTGTTTTTCTGCTGAATGGATGTTAGGGAGAGCGTTACTCTGCCCGCCGGTGGTGCCCAGTCGCCCTGCTTCACGTTAGAGAGAAAACACTTCTGGGGAATATACGGATTCAGGGAATAAAGCTCCCGCGCGACTCAGCAGCACCATGAAGACCACCTCCCTGCTCATCCTCACTGCGAGGGTCCGGAGCTCCGTCAGGCTGCTGCTGCTGCTGCACTCTGTGGGATTTTCTCATGGGATGCCACACGTCTTGAGATTTGGTGAGCTGCTTTTTTCCCCCTCCTCTGTAAAAGTTTGTGTTTTTATTACCATGAAGCTTGTTGCTCTCCCCCGACCTGTTGGAGACTCTTCCTCCATGTCCTCACGTGTGGGACACTTCTGACTCTTTATTTGCTCTGTAACAATGCATGTAAGGAGCAATAGCGCAAGAATCCAAAGAGTTAGTAAACACGTGTGTTGTGAAAAGCTGCCAGTGAGTGGAATCCATTGAAGGATGATACTAAAGTGACCTGTAACTTGTTGCTGTTTGGAAAGTTCCAAATATCAATGCTCCCCACACAGAACCATGCGTGTGTACAGTGTCAGCTGCTTGTGACCTAACATCGGTGTGTGTGTTAGTGTGTGTATTGTAGGTGTGTATGTGCAGTTATTCAATTATTCATATAGGATAGCTAATCTAAATGTTGAAGTGGTGTGTCCATAAGAATGTAAGAAGAAAAAACAAAGAAACACTTTTAATGTTCTTTTTTCAGTAAATTTACTTTTATAAAAAATATATATTGTTTTGTCAGAAATATGCTATAATGGAACTTTTTACATGACCCTTTAAACCACAATTCCCCCCTTTATTTGCTGCTATAAAGTAGGAAACATATATCTTATAATACAATGTGTTTGCTCCAACACATTGTAACGATATGACGCTTACAGGAAGCATTCCCCACCAGCTCCACACTTTAATAGTTGCGTCATTTTATCAAAGAGAAACATCTAGATGTGTTTTCATTTCATACACAAATGAAGGTATGTGGGTATGTGTGAAGCTGGGGGCAGCAGTCAGAGGTGAAAGCCTGCAGACCACCCTGAGCAGAACAGCAGAAAGAAGAGAATAACTACATTATTGTTAGATTTCATTTATCCTAAAAAGTCATGTAATTGAACCGTAATCACAAACCCTCACTGCAACCACAAAATAAAAAGATAGCCTACTTCTTTAAACCGCATGCTGACAGTTAGGTTGATTCATCCGATTGGAAGAAACAGCGCTCATCCTACAGTATCTAGAGGAATATCCTCAGTAATTAAATACACATTTCTTTCATTCAGATGAACGAGGTGCACAGAGATGTTTCTGCTCATGGAGCTGTAGGATCTAAATCAGAGTGGAGATGATAGAAAGGTGAATCCTGTGGTCCTGCAGGGCGTCAGCAGTCTCTCCACATCATGGAGACTGACTCCAGGTCTGTCATTGTGTCCATATGTAGAGGGGACAGTGTGTGGAGGGACGCTGTATCCTATTACTTCATCAGGCCTTCGTTACTCTGTTGAATAGGCAGCGTTTCTACACACCAGTAGAACGGTGCTTAATCTTTCTGTCGGACATTTCCTCTCTTCAGTAGCATTTCCTCAGCTAGCTAATGGCTAATAGCTAATAGCTAATAGCGCAGATCAAAGTGAAATCACCTCAGATCTTTTCAGATCTGAAAAGGTGATTTCACTTTGAATTGTGAAAACATTCAGCATTGATTGAACTGCAATAAGAAACATGGATCAGAATGTAAATACATCTGAATATTAAAAGTGCACTCCAGTTTAGTATTGCACTTTAACAAATGAGGGGTAACGTTTGAAATCTGAGCTACAGAGGCAGATCTTTTGATACTTGTAGAGTCAAGCTGCAAAACCCTGAATCTACATTTCCCATGATGCAACTCAATTGTGACTTACACTTGTCCCTTCCAGCCTTGGTACAGTAAATGCCAATGTTTCTCAAACTCCACACCCCCATTTTAACACTCAAAGATGTTTCAAAATGCAAATTGAAATTGGATTGAATGCTATAACCAGGACACAGCACGGCCCTCACAATATTAGCTACATGTTACACGTTTACTGCACGTCCACTTCCACTGACAAAGCTGCTTTATCTCTGCCAATTGAATTTGAACTTCCCAAATGGGATTTCCTCTGCTTCTGGAGCAGCTTTGACTAAAAAGGAGCTTGTAATATAGCAATAATCTCAACATTAACATCCGGGTGTCGCTTCACCATTTAGCCACTCTTCAAAATACTGTCAGAGCCTGCAAACGGTTGAACTCGTTCAGCCGTTTGAAGACTTATAGTGCAAGAGTGATGGATGGCTAAATTGGATTTCCATTTAGAAATTCAAGCAGAAGAAAAACAGCTCAGAGGAAGAATGCCAAAGCTGTTGTTTTCAATCAATCTGACCAGATCCTGTGATAAAAAACGATTTTATAGACTCTAATTGTGAAAGAGCTTCACAGCAGATACACTGTATATGGTGACGATTGTTTTTGAAACAGTTGTGCTGGCATTAAGGACATGAAAGCAGGGAAGAGCTCACATGGTGTGATTGTTCAGCAGTTTGAGAGAAAGAGGCTCATATATATGCTAAAAACCTCTGATGATAGAGAGCACATAACTGAATCTCCATTGAAAATAAAGCTGGATACAGACGACCTGCCGCTCTGCAACTCTGCCTGCAGCCGGCTCTGTTTCTGAGGATGTGTTGCAGACAGGTGAGGTCAGGAAATGGGATAACTCGTGTGAAGGAGAAGCCACATTCAGGGTCAGAATATGTTTCTCACCAGGGGCGGTTCTAGGGGGGGCAGGGGGGCCAGGAGGGGCCAGTGCCCCCCTAACACTGACCTCTGACCCCCCTAACAATGAAAAGTTTATTTTTTATTTTTTTTAAATGTATATTTTCTGGTACTCGGTTTGCCAAAAACCGCAGGATTTTGTTGCTGTAATGTGAGATTGTGCAGACACCCTTATGTAAAGTAGAGATGTAACTGTTCATTGCCTTTATTTTTATATAAATATGGTGTTAGTGCAAACATTGCACTATAACTTAAGCTGAAGCTAACAGTAATAACTATAAGATCTATCTGAAATAAATAAGTGTACTGAAACAAATACCAATAACTGTATTGCATTGTTTCCTTATGCGCAATTACTTCATACTGTCTAGTTCTCTTTTTCGTCCTGCATTTATTGTGCCCCCCTCAGAAAATAACTGCCCCCCCAGTGGCCCCCCCAGTCAAATTGGTCTAGAACCGCCACTGTTTCTCACACATGCTGCATGAGCGGCATCTGGGCAGCACATGCACTTTAGAAAAGTAGCATTGTCAAAAAAGTTGAGGTGAAGGAACCAGCAGACGGTACGGAAAGTCATTGATTTGATTCAACATCATTGGCAGGGAGTCATGGTTATTCCACGAGTTTCCTCACATCTAATCGAAGCAATTTAGTCTGTATATCTATAAATGCATCACTTTATATGTCTCTGGGATCTCGGCAGTGAAGGTTTTGATCAGGTGTTCCCCGTGGGTCGGCATTAGTGTGAAGGTCAGCATCTAATGGGGAGGATGGACTAAATGTTGCAGGTCGAAGGCAGAAAAACCCTCTTTAGAAAATAACTCTCTGTCAATAACTGAACAGAGAAGTTGACATTATCATCCCGGCTCTACCCCCCCTCACAGATGAATAGTAAAGAAGGGGATTTGCAGGGAAATCTGCGCTGCGTGGAAACAATGGGTGGCTAAGCGGATCATTGTGCAATGGAGAGCATTAGGTATGAAATGGGAGGTGATAATCACAGCATCCTTCAGGGAACAAGCTCATTTCCTTATTTGCTTTATCAATGTAGCTGAAGTAGTTTTGTGAGGAGACTGCTACTGTAGGAGATGTCACTGATTAGGTGACAAAAATGTGTATTAATCCACAACTAAATATAGTTCCTAATAAATGCATCATTTCAACCTCATTTAGTGATGTTACCAATAACTTTAAAGCTTTATTTGAAGAGGACATATTATTCTCATTTTCAGGTTCATATTTGTATTCTGTGTCTCTACTGTGACATGTCTCCATGCTTTAATGTTCAAGAAGCTCTTTATTTTTCTCATACTGCCTGTGCTGCAGCACCTCTTTTCACCCCCTGTCTGAAACCAGAGCTGCTCTGATTGGTTAGCTGGCCGGCTCTGTTGTGATTGGTCAACCACTTAGAGATGTCCCGCACCTTAGCCTATCAGATACAATGTGTTTGAGAAGGGATGCACTGAAAAATGTGAAACGTTGACTCTGATTAAATGTATTTTATCAACCGATTTCACATAACTGTATTAGGTAAGTTGAAATATCAAATTTGAATAAAAACAATATTGGGTTCAAACTTAATATTATATACAGTTATGTGAAATGTGTTGACATAATACATTTAATTAAAGTCAACGGTTCACATTTTTCAGTGCATCCCTTCTCCAACACATTGTACCTGATAGGCAATGTTTAGGTGTTTTCATTGTATCATTATGTTACTGAGTCCAATGAAGGCGTTTCAGGGCGGTGGGGAAGCTAGAAACTACCGGCTAACTGGTGGTGTTGTTCTTTACATGGGAAAGTAAAAGAGAGAAACAAATCAGCCTTGAACAGAGTCAAATCCATACCCTACTCCTAATGAAAAATGGCCTTCTTATACATTCTGTCACTACTTTACTGACCCATATCACCTTACTGCCATCCCACGGAGCTGTAATAATGGATATATTGCACATGTTTGCTGTAATTCATCATTTGTAAAATATTATACTACATGGGCTGTATGATGTAAATCTTGTACCGTAAATGTTGTATTAAATAAAGTTAATATTACCGACGTTAGATTAACGTCCCTGTAGCTTATTATTGCACTAAGAAGCTTATTGCACTATATATATATATATATATATATATATATATATACAGTACAATAATTATTTCATGCTAAATGAAGCTCTGTTGGATATCACTAGATCCTGTTACAGCGTAATATAAGTACATAACGATGTACATTAGCATAATTACTAGCTAGCCGCTAGCTGCTAACTGCCGCCTCGTTAATATCAAATCCATCATAATAACAAATCATTACCATACTGTCATGAACGCACGGTGCTGTTACGTGTACGCAAATTGACGTGCTTGATGTGAACGAGCATTTTGGTTAAAGTTGCGCATGCGCTATGAGCGCACATACGGG